AAAAAAAAAGAGTACAGAAAAACAAGTATTAGTTTTGAAAACCACAGAGGTAAAATCTAGATTTATTACTGAAAACACTATTACTAAAAGAAAGGTATATCAAAGAGTAACAACTACACTTTTAAATTTTCTACACATATATAATCAAATGAAAAAGTTTACTTTTTATCAAAAGATTTCATATACACTACAAGGGCTGAAGTTTAATCTAAAGTCCTACTTCCAGGTATGAGTTCCACAATTAAAGAATTTAACTTTGTGGTTCAAAATAATCAAAAAAGGTAGATAATATTAGGAAAAAATAAAACTTTAAATTAAAGGACACTGAACTCATACAATAACTGGTATTCTATTATTAAATGAAAAGTAATATATAAATTTGTATATGCAATATAGTTAGGCTTTCTGCTTCACCCACCACTATTATGGGTATCTATGGGCTGTGTGTGTGTGTGTGTGTGTGTGTGTGTGTGTGTGTGTGTGTGTGTGTGAACAAATGTGTTTGCCATAGCTACTTAAGACATAATTTTCTTCTAGACATAATTGACAATTATGTAAGTCACATATTACCAATATATAAAAGGGCATAACCTATTTTTATTTATTTACCATTAACATTGCGCATACGTGTGTTTATGATGTATATGCATGGGCATGCATGTGCCACAGCATGTGTGTGGAAGTTGGTTCTCTCCTTCCAGCTTTCTATGAGTTCCAGAAACTTGCACAAGCGTTTCACTCAACAAGCTATCTAAAAGTTCCCTAAACATAAAAATTTTAATTACTATTGTTTTGAGATAATGTTAGACTTACAGAATGTTGAAAAAGGGAAAAATCTGTCTATATCCTCCTAATCTTAATATCAGAAACCAGTAAAAATCTGACTATCAAAACTAAAAAGTAACACTGAGAGAATATCAGCTAAGGACTTTGGTCTGATTTCACTACTTTTCCTATTAATGTCCTTTTTCTATTTCGGGATCCCATAATTCCTCAGCCTTTTCCTGCTTCAGCACCTGGTAGTTCAGAGAGTAATGGCCATGTGTTTTATAGCTGGGGCTGTCTCCTCCTTTCCCTAGCCATCAGATCTGGACTGTACATTATGGGGACACAGACGTGGTGTGCGTGCTCGATGTGAGGGGCATGCCTTGCTGGATAGTGTCAACTATGAGCGCTTGGCTCCAGGGACGTCTGCCAGGTCTCTCCACTACAGAGTTCTACCTTTCATTCTCTAATTTAACGAAGACTGGGGTATGGGACTTGAGGTTATACACATGTAGTTCTCTATGAGTTTTCACCCATTAAATTCATAATGTATTCGTGAAGCTGGCCAGCCAGCAACAATCATAAATACAGTGCTTTACTTGTGACTTTGTATTTCCTTTATTTTTTTTATTATTATTGAATTCTACTTGAAGCACTGTCGCCACCACTTACAATTCATTCAAGCTTTCACTCCATATCTGCATCAGCACAGACCCAGAGATGTCTATGCTGTCCTTTGGTTACCACCTCATCCTATTACTGCTGATTCTGCTGAAGAAACTTTCCAGCTTTGACACTGGAAATTCGTTTATGTTCTTGTATCCTTTTAACAAAACAGTATTTTAATCAGTAGACCAATTTCTACCTCTCTACCCTCAGTCAGTTGTGTTGGCCGTATGCTAACCTGAGATAGTGACTTCCTCCTCGTTTCTGTATCAGCAGCGACGGGGAAAGAGCAAGTTGAAGCACAGTAATAGTGAACGAAAGAGCTTTCTTTTGAAGGGATATCCTGAAACAAAGGAAATGCCTGAACCCAAGACAACGGATAGGAGAGCTCTGATTCTCCATTGCTCTTACTTATTTCCATCATAATATCTTTCAATTTCAATTCTTCTTTTTGTGAAACGGAACTGTTTAACTCAAGGAAAATGAATTCACTGGCTTTTGCTATAAAAGAAAAAAAGAAATCAATTTTTATCAATACTTTTAAAAAGACAACTGTAATCTAATTGTGAACAACAGTAAGGATTTTATTATTTTTTTTTATTGAGCTCTACATTTTTCTCTGCTCTCCTCCCTATCTTTTCCCTCCCCAACAGTAAGGGTTTTATGTAAAACCCAACCACATATTTTGTATGTTAAATAATAACAGACAAGTTTAAATTCCAAAATAGGCAGCTGGAAATCAAAAGCCCAAATTCACACTATTAGGTTCCTATTCTACTTCACAGAAATTAAAATTCCAAGTGATACTGACTATACCTATCATTCAAAAAGCTCTAGTAAGTATTTGCTTATGAGTGTATAAATGAATGAACGATAATTAAGCCAGTATTTATTTTAGTCTAGCCTCTGTCACAAATCCACCAACCATCTAAAAAACCATGCTGATTAAACACTCCTTCCTTCCTTAACCAGCCACTTCAATAATGGTCACACACAAAAAAATATTATTATCCACCCAAGACTAGAAATAGCTCTTTATAATTCCACAGCCTCTTCTTATCTGATTATGAATTTCTCTATTATATGTAATTAGAACAGGAAACTATTACTTTTTTGAGGATAAAATTTAACTCCCTACAACATCTAGTATATATTCAAAAAGAAGAGGGAAGAACAAGATCAAAAAGGTCAGAACTAATATTACTAACTTTATTTAATTCTAAACCAGATACCACTAGGAGTTGAAAAATAAAGTTATTACTTCAATTTACATATACATTTCATATACATTACATATACAATTTCAAGATACATATATGTAGCTATGTATGTGCTCTCAGAAAACAAAAAAAGCACTCATCTCAAGTCTTAGAAGTCTGGTATGTATATAAGCTGAACTTATTTATCAGAAACTAAGAAAACATACATAATATAAAAAAACTATAATTTATTTAACTTGGTTATTGTGTCACATTTTATAATAAAATAATGGGCAAAAAAATCTCTTAGGAAATGTAACCATGGATAACGTAACTTACTCTAAAGTCACACTTCAGCCCATAAAGTAAGCCTTAACAAATACAAAAGAAATAAAAAAAATTCTTGCATCAGATCATATGGCAAGATGAATAAAACCATAAATCCAGAGTAAGAGAGAAACTCAAATACTTGGAGATTGAACTCTTGTAGTAACCAACCACTGGGTCACTAAAGAAATCAGGTAGGAATTAATTTTTTAATTCCTAGAGTCAAGAAATGGAAACACAAGTTATCAGAACCATTGGGATAGCGCAAAGGCAGTCTAAGAGTTTACAGCTGTGAATCCTTACATCAAATTAAAAAAAAAATCAGAGAGCTATCAAATAAACAAGGCAATGGTGCATTCGAGAGCCTCAGGAAACAAGAACAAGCCAAACCAACAGGAAGTAGGTGAAAAGAAGTAAGGGCCAGGGCAAACTTCATTAAATAGTAGAAGAACAGAGCAAAGAATCAAGGACGGTTGGGGCTTAGACAAAATAGACTGGGACTGGTGGGATGATTCAGGGGTAAAACAGGAAGGCTGCCACCAAGCCTGAAGACAGAGTTTTATCCCCAGGACCCACATGGTAGAAGAAGAGAAGTGACACTCAAAACATGTCCTCCAACCTCCACACAGGCCTTGAGGCATATGCATGTGTGGTGTGTGATGCACGCACACTCACGCACACTCACACACACACACACACACACACATAAATAAATAAATGTAAAAAAAAAGAAAAAAGTTCAGAAATATTCAACCTGATCAAAACAAAGAGAAGTCATAGATGAGTAAAATTAGATATGAAAAGGGAGCCATTACAAAAGATATCAATGAAATCCAAGGGACCTTTACGGGATACTTTGAAAACATATTCTAAAACCCCGGAATTATTTAGAAGAAACGAGCAAATTTCTAGGTCAGTATGACTGGTCAAGGGTAATTAAAGAAGACATAATATAAAAAAAAAATAACAAGATCTATCACAAGCAACATGGTTGAAGAAATACTAAGGCATATCCCGACAAAGAAAAGCACAGGGCTATTCAGATTCACTACCCTATTCTTCCAGACCATTAAAAAAATAAGCAACAGAGCTAGAGAGATGGCTCGTCAGTTCAGAGGATTTCTGCCCTTCCAAAAAACTTGACTTTGGTTCCCAACACCACATTAAGTAGCTCACAACCACCTGAAACTCAAAATCTAGGGGATCTGACACACTCTTTTGGCTTCCAAGGGCACCTGCACAAAGTATATAAAAACACAGGTAAACATACATGGAGAGAGAGAGGGAGGAGGGAGGGAGGGAGGGAGGGAGGGAGGGGTTAACACTAATGCTCCTCAGAGAATTCCACAAAATAGTAAGAAAGAAGGAACACTACTTCAACGTACACAGCCAGCATCACTCTGGTATCAAAACCAAATGAGGGCACAACACGTAAGAAAACTATACACTAAATTTTCTAATAAACACAGACATAAAAATCAATCACTCAAACAAGTCCCTGCAAATTGAATTCATGAACGAACATGCTGATAAAACTTCACATATCATGACCATGTTGATACTATTGCAGGGAGACGAGGATGGTTCAACATATGCAAATCAATGACTGTAATACAAATGTATAAATATATTAATGGCAGAAATCACAGATCATATTAATCAAGGCAGAAAAGGCTTTGACAAAAAAAAAACAACACCCTTTTGACTTGAAAAAACCAATAATAAATAGAATATTCTTCAACACAATAAAAGCTACATATAACAATCCTATGCCTGAAACTATACTCCATAGGAACACGGAAAGTATCCCTCAAATCAGAAATAAGGTTAGGGTGCTCTCTTCACTCTTGCCAGGTAAGGAAATGAAGTCTTACCCAGAGTAATAAGGCAAGAGAAAGAAATAAAAGTGATAATAACAGGAAAGGAAGAAGTCAAATTATCTTCATTTGCAGGTGATATGATCTTACAATTTAAATATTCCACCCAAAAAAATCTTAGATCTGATAAAAACTCTCATCAAATGAATAGCACACAAAGCCAACATATGAAAACCAGCAACTTTCTATGCGTTAATGATGCACCTGCCAAGTACACATGGCAGAAGAGCAAGCGGACTCTTCGGAGGTGGAAGGGGACTGCAGGGAAGAAGAATGGGAAATGGAGTGCAAATAAAAAGTACATTAAATATGAAAATGTCATAATAAAACAATTGTTTTATATACTAAGTAAAACAGCTAACCAAAAAAGAAATATAACCATATATAACTAAAATATAGTTTTAATAGTACAAAAATGTTTTATCTTCAAAGTAGATGTTATATCAGACTTTTTTCATTTTTGATAATTTTCCATAACTGAATAAAATTACCAGGCAAAATCAAGTGGATAAGTAAAATAATTTATCTAGTATTAATGGATAACATTTTTAATTCAAAGAAATTAATTTCAATCCAATGAAAAGATAGTCTATAAGTTAGCATAGAAAACTAACTTCACACGTAAGTTTTGAGGCTCTCCTGAAATTTAGGAATGATCTTTATACTTACATTGCTGACTTAACATGGGGTTTTCTAGCTGGGTCTGAATCTCTTGAAGATACTTTGAGGAAACCCAGAGGAAGAGTATAGCATGGCTTCTCCCACTGTGATCATCGTCCTTGCTTTTCCATAACCCAAACCTCTTTAAATGAGTGGTGTCTACTGACAGCAAAACCTCATTCGTGGACACTGAAATAAATAAAACAAGCAATTTAAAAAGTAATCTATTTAGGAATATACCATCTCTGATACTTATTGATATACTGTATGTCATAGTAAGGGTTTCTATTGCTGTGATGAAACACCATGCCCAAAAGAAATTTGGGGAGGAATATGTGTGAAACTGCCAAAGAAAAATTTAATTAGATTAGCATCTAAGAAATGATGAGAATGAAAGAAGTAGCCTTCCCCAGGGAAGAACATACCAAATGGTTATCCAATATCAAATTGTCAGCCCAAAAAACTTACATACAAGTAATATTACAGAGACTAAACAAGTTTTAGTGATATATTTAAGAGTGTGCATGTGTGTGTGTGTGTGTATGTGTGTGTATTAAAGAAAAAAAGGCCATGAATTTGAAAGAGAGAAATAGGGGTGCAAGAAAGTGGTTTAAGGGAGGAATGAGGAGGAAATGATATAATTTTATTATAAATTAAAAATAAATAATACTAATTCATCTGAAAAAGAGGTGGACAGTAAAGAAATCCTAACTTCTTGACACATGCTGAAAACGTGCTATCATCCTCCAGACTCCTGCCCAGCCGTGCTCACTGCTGCTCTATTCAAAACAGGTAACAATGAAAACAACATAAATGCCCTACAAACAGATAATGAAAGTGTGGTACATATACATTACAGAATACTAGTCAGCTGTGAAGAAATAAATAAATCAATCATGACCTTACAGGTTTATTAGTCAGAACTAGAAAAGATAAACTGGATGAGGTAGCCAGACTCAGAGAAGAAAAAGGTAGCATGTTGTCTCTTATTGGGGGTTTCTAGCTTCAAATCTTCAAAAGTGCACAGCCTGGAGTTACTGCAGAAGCCAGGAAAGTAAAAAGGGATCATTTTGGGAGAGCATTAAGGAGGGGAAAGGAAGTGAAGGAGAAAATGAGAAAGTGAGGGCTTCTAATTAGGGAGGGAGATAGGTACAGAAGGAAGAAGGGGGTAAAATAACAGGGTTTCTGAAAGGTCATAAAGAATCATATTAACTACAATCTAAAAATGTCTATAATACATAGTAAGTCTATGTATAATATACGTATATAGTTTAAATGAAACTTTGCCATTGAGGCTGACAACGCTCCCTTCAAGACCCAAAGACCATCTACCAAAACCCCAACACCAGGGATGAGAAACCCTCTTCAGAGTTGTTCATCAGAGTCATTCAAGGGACTCCCAAATAGTACAGGCTTCTGCCCGTAGCTGCTCCTGAGAGGTGGAAGGTAAGTCCGTATTGCTGAAGACACCATGCACATCAGACACAGGGCCCAAAGGCTCCTGTGTTGAACTGAAATGAATGCTTCCTCCCTGAGGACTAGCTTTCATGTACCCAGAGGGCACCATGCAGGTTTCATAGGGAGGCAGCCAACAGTCTGACCAGCTCTGATGTATATGAACCACAATGACTACCAGCATGGCACAATAATCCGAAGGCTGAAGCAGTGGCATGCAGACCTTGGTGGTAACCAACAGCGCTCTAAAAGGACTTAAGATCCTCACCAAGAGGGAAATCATGCTTGGATCTAGAAACCTTGACAACTATCCAGAGCTACTGAAGTCACAGATCTTTGAGCAGAACCTGTAACTACCACTGTCCCTAACTACACTTATCTTTTTACCTGCAGATAAGTGTATTTCTTGCCACCCATCAAGGAAACTTCTCTTTGCAACAACAACAACAACAAAAAAAAACCCACAACTGATCAAAACGCAGTTGTGGATCCCAGTGCCAACTGATATACATCTGCAGCTCAGGGACCACTGCAGAAGAAGGGGCAGAAAGACTGTAAGAGCCAGAACATCAGGGAGTTTGCTGTGAGCTTGTGTCTCCTATGGGTGTCAGAAGCTACATCCTTGAAGTCTCACCAATATGACAAACACGAACAAGGAAAACAGTATATTACCTCTCAATAATTAATTCTAAACAGATTAGTGTTTTCTAACCAGGGCTATTAAGTTATCGTGTGCATTATATGTTCTCTCCAATCATTAGACTTATCACCATAGCAGAGTTCTCGATTCTGAACATGCAGGAGCTGAGGAACTGAAGCTGCCTCAATAACATCTTCAGTCCACCATGATGCTTCTGTTACTCTAGCTCATATCTGCTGTCATTTGTTCAGACATTTTTCTTCCTTGCTCTTTTTATAATTCACTTTCTAAAGAGAATTCTCTATCAGTTATTATTTTTCATCACTAATTACTTTGGAAAATTTTTGTTTAGGAAAGAATAAGAAAACAGTCTATGTCTCTTTAAGCTGTAGTCCATTTCCATCTGCTTTACTTAGAGAAGATAGAGCATTAAAAAACCTCTCTGTCTATGCAAATATATATGTTCGTGTACTTTTTTCCCTTAGTTCTTATTGTAATCATTTTTGTGTATAGTAAAATACTTGTGCTGTAAAATTTTTATTTTGTTAATCCTAAGAAATCATTAAGAGTATTTTAAGCCGGGCGTTGGTGGCGCACGCCTTTAATCCCAGCACTTGGGAGGCAGAGGCAGGCGGATCTCTGTGAGTTCTAGACCAGCCTGGTCTACAAGAGCTAGTTCCAGGACAGGCTCCAAAACCACAGAGCAACCCTGTCTCATTAAAATTTAAAAAAAAAAAGAGTATTTTAGTATCATTTGATTTATACTCATTAAAATGAGAATTAATATGTTCTCTTTGGTACTGTAAAGCATTTTAAGGGTTTTTTTGGAACTGCAAATAATGTTAAGCCCAAACATTATTAAATCACTTTACTTAGCTTCTATACTGAAAAGTGATGGTAAACTTGTGAAAAAATTTCAGAACTTTTTCTAATAAATGACTCTATACTCAAAAAAAGTGGAAAAAATGTCATTAAGAGAAGGTGGCTTACCTTGAAATGGGATTTTAATATACTTCGTTGTGAACTAAAAAAAAATATGAAACAAAAAATGAGTAAATGAGTTACTACTCCAAGTTTGTCTCTAGTCGATTTTCTTAGTATTCAAGTATTTAGTACTATTCAATGTTCAGTAGTAAAAGTACTAAAGAATCAAAGCAAAGAACTATTTCCATGTAAAGACTTAGTTTGAAGGTTGAGAGTGTCTAACTGTACAAGTAACTTTACCTGAATACTCACTTATAAAAATTGGTAACACCTTACTTTTTAAAAGTATGTTCTGAAATTCTAAGAAATAAGACAATGTCCAAAGAAATGTCAGGAGACCACATAAGGCAACAATTTCCAAAGAAGATAAGAATTCTCTTAGGGATTAACCAAACTCACAAGTGAACTGATCAAACAAAGGTGCCAATGTGCTATTTATTTGTAATGAGACATTAAAAGTATCCGAAGATAGCTATACCCCACCCGCTGGGGAAGTTCTGTCTTTGAAAACTAACAGAACTCAGAAGATTATTTTTCTACACAGAAACAGAACAACAACAACAACAACAAAAAAAAAAACCTGCTTACTAAAGAATGGCTACAAAAGTCTAACAAAGCTGACTTCAAAACAGTGATGCACCTGTCAAAGGATGGCAAAGTTAAGTCTCAAGCCAGCACACTCCTCTGCTGCGCAACTTTAGGTGGAGCATCGCCATCTCTTTTATCGTCTCTTTGTTCTTTTCAGGAACTCCTGGCTGAGCTCCTTGCTCTTTCTGATCCTTTGACTTCGTTACACTATTTCCACTGGTCTTCTGTGTGTCTGTTCAGCATAAGTGTTCTACTTATAGTTCAAGACAAAACCTTACACATACTATCTAAAACAGATTTGTCTTTTGACAATTGCTTTTCCCTTACTAACAAATAAATCTGCCTTATTTAACAAATAAATCTTTGGTTAAGTTTCTCTTCTGATCAATAGATTTATGAAACTGTTGACTATTTCACAGATAAAACTTGTGAAGACAAGATAAAAATCAAACAGACAGCATGTGAGTTCTAGGCAGTGACAGTGTTCAATGACAACACTGGTTTACTTGTATCCCGTTTGTTTTCTGAATTTAAAAATTACTTCATATTATATTTTTTAAAAGTACTAAACTCATATTCCACAGGGTAAAGTGAAGCCAAATGTCAGGCAATGGGGCATACTGGCTAAGCGCTGAGTTTGGATTTCAAATTCTGCTTCTGTTGTTTCTACCACTATAGTTAGGGAAGTAAACGGTAAGTCACTGAACCTTTCGCAGATTTAATTTAATAAGGCCCTCAACCCAAGGGTACTATTACCACAAAAAGATATATCCAATACCTCCTGTTAGTTTCATATAACTATTTAGTATATGTACATATTATAATACACATCTTCCCAAATTCTGACGTTTTACTAATCTCAGAAAATGCAGCTCAGTAAATATAAAGTACTACCTCTAGGAATAATATAGTTTGTTTTCCAGAGTTCATACCGCTATTACTTCAAAATTAATAAGAAACACTGTACCACAGTGTCCTGGGGTCAACTTCCTTACACGTGCACTCCATCTTCCTTCCCATACCATTAAATGCTCTTGTTCTACCAAAACCTACTAGGCAAAAATATGATGCTGATCTACATCTCTGTGTGGTTACTATAATACGCGATCTATTCCCAGCTAAATTTTAAAGCCTAGATAAGAAAGTGATACTGTAGTCAATCAGTTCTTAAAATAGTACATCTATTTGAAGAAGAATAAAGCTGACGGCAATGCTAATATATAATGTCCTTCAATAGTCAAAACAGCTCTCTGAAAATCAGTGTGCTTTGTAAACCTTCTCACCATCACAAGTGTTAGCATTTTTGGAAAAAAAAAAAACTATATTTACTGCTGCACTCTCTAAAGAGACAAATGACCAACTGAAGAAAGTTGCTCCTATTTGTATAACTTTCCATTATTAATTTCCTAATAAAGTTAAACAGTAACTATCAGAATAGTAAGAAAATTATTTAATTACAGTAATGTCTAACATAGTAAGTACTCTGATGTTTGAAAAACTAAACTTAATTATCTAATATATTTACTCAAAAACATTTCTTTCATTTGTTATAAAAAATCATAAATTCTGTCTGAAAACTGCATATAAAATACCTTTTGAAGACCAAGAAAGTTTTAAGACTTTTACCCCTCTCCCTTCCTATGTTTCAATTTGAAAAGCTGTCACATATTCTCTCGTCATAATTCTATATTCTATAGAATTCCTTGTAGTCTTTCTTCATGTACATAAATTACAGTCATTTATTAAACTGCTTTCCTACAGTAAGAGATAAATTTGTTTTGAGCTCCTAGCCTCAAGTGATTGCCTCACCTCAGCCTCCCAAAGAGACCACAAATGGGTACTACTGTGGCCAACTTAAATCCAGTGATAATTAAAGCAAAATACTAGGACAATTGAAATGAACAACAAATGAAAATTGTAAAAGACACCCATTCCAAAATGGAAAGGAGAAGTAAATTAATATAATTGTAAGTTGCAGAATAATACACATAATACTGCTTTATATATATGTACATGTATGAGAAATATGAAATCATACATTCCAAATTAGCAGCTGCTGTCTTTGTATTCAAAATTATTTGTGGTCTTTATGTAGATTTTTTTGTTTGGTTCTTGTTTTCCCCTACACTACGACAAACTTTACACTATTCTGAAAGTGAAAAAGTGGTCACTAATATTTTTATATTTTTTTCTTTATTTTGGCAATTATAATTACATCATTTCTCCCTTTCCTTTCTTCCCTCCAAACCTTTCCAAGTATCCCTCCTTGTTCTTTCAAATTCATAGCCTGTGTTCATTAATTATTGTTTTCATGCATATTTGTATATGTAGATATACATATATTTCTAAATATAACCTGCTCAGTTTGTATAATAATGCTGCGTGACTGTCTTCTGAGCAGATCACTTGACACTGGACAACTAGATAGTGTGTTTTCCCTGGGGAAGACTATTTCTTCTGCTCGCAGCATTCTTAGCCGCCTGCAGTTCTTTGTGTGGGGTTGAAACCATGTGGTCCTTCCCTTGTCCACTTCGGTAAGTCTATTGCTGTCCTTTTTCAGCTTGTCTTTAGGCAATCCTGTGGTGAGACGTTACTTAAAAAGTCAGAGGATTTACTTACCGTGACACAACCTTTTGAAGCTCCTTTTATTTTACCAATATACAGAGAAGTAAATACAAAATCCAGTTTCAGATCCATTTCACTATTAGGTTTAACACAGGAAATGTTTTCCATGTCAGGATTATATGAACATAATTCAGATGATGCCTAACAAAGAATAAATCATGCATGTATAAATCTCTAAGAATTATAAAAAAGATGAAAATTATGTTTTATCAAAGACAAAATTCTTCTTTAAATTATGATTAAAGAATTTTATGCTGTTCTTCAGTTGACCTGAGCTACTGAGAGCTCCCTGACTCTGGACTGATAATGGGCAAACCTGCATAGGCCCAAGTTAGGCCCACTGAATGTGAGGGACAGTTGTGAGGCTTGGGAAGTCTGGGGGGTCACTGGCAGTGGGGCCAGGATTTATCGCTGGTGACATCTAGGAATACATTCTTTTGGAGGGATACTGATATGGGAGGGTCTTCTGTTTTGTGTTGATTTCATTGGTTAATAAAGAAACTGCCTTGGTGATTTGATAGATCAGCCCTTAGGTTGGTGGAGTAGACAGAACAGAATGCTGGGAGGAAGAGGGAAGTGAGGCGATCGTCATGCCTCTCCTCTCTGCCAGGTCAGACATGCTGAATCTTTCCCGGTAAGCCACCACCTCGTAGTGCTACACAGATTATTAAAAATGGGTTAATCAAGATGTGAGTTAGCCAATGGGAGGCTGGAACTAAGGGGCCAACCAGTGTTTAAAAAAATACAGTTTCCGTGTAATTATTTCGAAGCATAAGCTAGCCAGGCGGCCAGGAGCCGGGTGGCAGGAACGCAGCCCTCAGCTCCTTCTACAGGATACTTTGTTTAGCCTAGATATAGTGGTGAGGGTCTTGGTCTTGCATCGAAGTCAAGTGTCCTACTTTGTTGACTCCCCATGGGAAGTCTTACCCTTTCTGAGGAGTCGATGGTGAGGTGGAGTGGAAGAAAGGTGGGGGAAGTGAGAAGAGGGGAGGGAGTGGGAACGGGGATAGCTATGTAAAATGAGGAAATATTGTATTTAAAATTCTTAATTAAAAAAAGAAATAAAAATAAATAAATGGAGAGACATCAGCGCCCGGCCTGCGTCTGTAAGGCCACCTGCTCCTTTCCATCGTGCCAAGCCAGCTGAAGAGCCGCCATGAGCAAGGCCCACCCTCCCGAACTGGAGAAACTTATGGACAAGCAGTTATCATTGAAGTTAAATGGCGGCAGGCAGGTACAAGGCATACTTCGGGGCTTTGATCCCTTATGAATCTTGTCATTGATGAGTGTGTGGAGATGGCAACTAGCAGGCAACAGAATGACATCAGCAAAGAAAAAAAAACTTTTTGCTAAATAAAAAATAAATAAATAAATGGATAAATAAAATAGAGAATTTTATGCTGTTCTTAATGTGAAAAAAGAGTTACTAAGATTTTTGAATAAAATAGAGATTTTAAACTTATTTTGAATCTTGGATACTTTTAGATTTTGTATGTGCATGGGTAAAAATTATCTTTTTTATTGTTTTTATTTCACTATACATTTTTCTCCATTTCCTTCCCTTCCTCCCCTCTCCCTTTCTACCCTCTCCCGTGACCCACGCCCTCCCAATTTACTCAGGAGATCTTGTCTTTTTCTACTTCCTATTTAGCTTCATGTATGTCTCTCTTAGGGTCCTCTTTGTTGTCTAAGTTCTCTGGGGTTGTGGACTGCAGGCTCATTTTTCTTTGCTTTATATTTAAAAGCCATTTATGAGTGAGTATATATAATATTTGTCTTTCTGGGTCTGGGTTACCTCACTCAATATGGTTTTTTCTAGATCCATCCCTTTGCCTGCAAATTTCAAGATGCCATTATTTTTTACCACTGAGTAGTTCTCTATTGTGTAAATAGAACCACATTTTCTTTATCCATTCTTCAATGGAAGGGCATCTAGGTTGTTTCTACATTCTGGCTATTACAAATAATGCTGCTATGAACATGGTTGAGCACATGTCCTTGTGGTACAAATGAGCTTCCTTTGGGTATATACCCAAAAGCTGTATGGGTATTGCTCGGTCTTGAAATAGATTCGTTTCCTAATTTTCTGAGAAACTGTCATACTAATTTTGCACTCCCACCATACAAGTTTGCACTCCCACCAGCAATGGAGGAGTGTTCCCCTTATTCCACATCCTCTCAAGCATAAGCTGTCATCAGTGTTTTTGATCTTGGCCATTCTGACAGGTCTAAGATGGAATCTCAGAGTTGTTTTGATTTACATTTCTCTGATGACTAAGGACGTTGACCATTTCCTTAAGTGTGTTTCAGCCACTGGAGATTCCTCTGTTGAGAGTTCTCTGTTTAGGTCTGTACCCCAATTTTTTATTGGATTATTTGTTCTTTTGATGTCAAGTCTCTTGAGTTCTTTTTGGAGATCAGTCCTCTGTTCGATGTGGGGTTGGTGAAGATCTTTTTCCATTATTTAGGCTATTGTTTGTCTTGTTGACCATGTCCTTTGCTTTATATAAGCTTCTCAGTTTCAGGAGGTCCCATTTATTAATTGTTTCTCTCAGTGTCTGTGCTGCTGGGGTTATATTTAGGAACTGGTCTCCTGTACCAATGTGTTCAAGTGTACTTCCCACTTTCAGTTCTCTGAGATTCAGTTTGGTTGGTTTTATGTTGAGGTCTTTGATCCATTTGGACTTGAGTTTTGTGCATAGTGATAGATATGGGTCTATTTTCATTCTTCTACATATTGATATCCAGTCATGCCAGCACCATTTGTTAAATATGCTTTCTGTTTTCCATTTTATATTTTTAGCTTCTTTGTCAAAAATCAGGTGTTCATAGGTGTGTGGATTGATATCCGCGTCTTCAATTCAGTTCCATTGGTCCTCCTATCTGTTTTTATGCCAATACCAGGCTGTTTTCATTACTGTGCCTCTATAATAGAGTTTGAAGTCAGGGATGGTGATACCTCTAGAAATTCTTTTATTGTACGGGATTGTTTTGGCTATCCTGGGTTTTTTGGTTTTCCATATGAGGTTGAATATTGTTCTTTCGATGTCTGTAAAGCATTCTGCAGGAATTTTGATAGGCATTGCATTGAATGCCTATCAAATCTACAGAGATTGGTTTCGGTTAAGATTGCCATTTTTACTGTTTATTCTACCTACCCAAGAGCATGGAAAATCGTCCATTTTCTGGTGTCTTCTTCAATTTCTTTTGAGATTAATTTTATGGGGTATTTTGGAGGTGTTGAAAGACATTATACCTATTTTGAACTGTGTCTCAAACTTACTTTAATGCCTCTCTCTCACCTGACTGCTACCCAACAAATAAGAATATTTCACTGGGGGCTGGAACATGACCCAGAAGATAAGGGTACTTTCCACTAAGTCTAACAACTGAGCTTAATCCCTGGAACCTACATAATGGATGAAGAGAACAACTCTTGAAGGTTATCCTCTGACCTCCACAACTGTGCCATGGCCTACACATCCCCACACACATACACACAAATAAGTAAATATGTAAAAGAACTGTTTTAACTTTGATAATGAAACAATGAAAAATGCTTTTTAAAGTAACACTTAATTGCAACTCTGAGAAGGCAGAAATAGATTACCTGTACAGATTCACATGCACCCAGTCGTAGTTCTGACAAATGTACTTCAGAAGTCCCCTGATTTTCACTTGCAATCTCAAACTCTCGATTAGGCTGTAAGTTCAGAATTACTGAATTCTTACGTTCAATGGGTCCTTCTTCATCACTGGAAACAACAACTAAAAAGGAAAATGTGTTTTAAATGTGTTATAATAATGAATTATCTTTAATAATCATATAAAGTCTAAATATCTATATATTCAGCTTAAATCTAACCTATCATTCACTACGTGATTAGTAATAGTTATATACAGATTCTACATCAGCATTACTATTTAATAGCTTCCTACAATCTTACCTTCGAAAGAATAAATGTATTTAAAAGATGACTAAAGCCATAAGTAAACATGGTACACTCTGGGTATTGAGTGGTCCTCAAAGATTTGCAACTGAAAAGCCTGGGCCCATGCGTGTTACTTCTGAGATGAGATGGAGCCTTTCAGAGGTAGGGCCTAGCAGTGGAAGATCCCCAGGTCACTAGACAAGGTCACTGGGGCTTGCCATAAGAGGAGCTGCTGTCCAAGCCATTCCCTTTGCTCCCTGGAGAATGAAATGTGGTTTTGCTCTACTGTATGCTCCCTGATACTTCCTGCCATCCAGAACATGCACGCTCAGCAGCACAAAGCACTGGGTCCACTCAATCTAGACAGAAGTCTAGGTAACTTTAAGTCAAAATAAAATTTTTCCTCATCTCCCTCTCTCAACTCTGAACCATTATCAGGATTTTACTCTTTTTTTCCTTCCCCTTTCTCTTTCTCTTGTGCTAGAGATTGGATCCAGAGTCATGTAAAGGCTAACCAAGTACTATGCCACTGAGCTGTATTCCCTGTCCAATCTTTAACCATGAAATTATATCAGGCATTCTGTTACAGCAATAGACAAGGTTAGGAACAATGTCTAGTTCTAACAGAGAGTACTGTGATATCATTCTAAATAGTGCCAAGTCCTTTCACGTCACTTTCCTGCGGGTAGGGAAATGGATGGCTAGAAGATACAGAAGCAACTCACTGTGGACTCTTTAGAGTCTTTTAAATTCTTGTATCAGAAATTTTTATCACAACCACCTGCAACTCCAGTTCCAGGAATCTTGACACCCTCATTTAGTCTCTGAGGGCACCAGGCATGCATATGGTGCACAAAACACACATACACATAAAAAAAAAAAAAAAAAAAGAAACAAACAAAAACCTTACTGTTTACAGACTCCATTTGTTTACCTAAATTAGTATTACATGATTCATAAGGGAACCACTGAGGATGTTTTCCCTAAAGTTAATGTACTTCCCAGAGGCCCAAACAGCCTTAACAAATTGTGAGAAAAGCAAAAGCTCTGAGTAAAGCTTTGAAAACGAGTGTCTTTACAATCTTTTACTTACTTGGTTCAGCTGAGATCAACAATTGGCTCTCTTCACTGTTTCCACCTACAAGAGACTTTTCTTCTATAGTCAACTCCTCGCCCTTCTCAGCCGGGGAAGAACCCTCCACCTCATTGTGAGAAACAGAGCTCTCCGGGCTTCTGTTGGGTGAGCAGGCTCTCCCAGAGGCAGCACTGACACCTGCTTCTTGAACGGCAAGTGAGCACACATTAGTGGCCTCGCTCTCTGAAGGTTCAGGTGTAAGTCCTACAGGTGGTGCTGGGTCCCAGTGACGGCTTTCACTTGATTTCTCAAGCTTACTGGAGGCTGTGGAATCATTTTCTTCTTCTTTCTGAACATTTTTTTAAAAAGTAGAGAAATTACATTTTTCCATTTTGGTTTCCCTAAGGCACACTTCTAAGACTTAAGTTCACAAGGAGTAACATAAAAATGAGAGTGAATCTTTTTATAGGACTATGAAGATGGCTACACAGCTGTGCTAACTACGCCTAGCAGTATCATCCAAGTACAGTGATACAGCGTTTCACCTATTGAATCTGATGCCTAAGTAATTTTTAAAGAACCAAATAAAGAAATTTCCATATATGGCAAAGTCAGAGCAAAATGAACTTTAGAATGAGAGGACTTTTGGCATATTTATTTATTTAGTAACAAAAATTGCTTTTAGTAACAAAAGCAAAAACATTGAATAAGAAGGAACATCAAAAATTATGAAAACTCTTGCCACCAAGCCTGACAATTTGAGTTTGGTCACTGGTGCACACATGGTGAGAGGAGGGAACCAACTCCCACAAACTGTGCTCTGCGCGTGTGCGCATGCATGATCACACTTGTCTGTGCGCGCACACACAGAAATAATGAAGTAAACTAAAAGTAATGCAATTTAAAGTTTTAAAAATAAAGTTTACACAGAATAGAAAAAATCCAATAAAGTAAAAAGTTCAAAGAAAATTCATTATTTAGCTACCATTAACTCATGTTCATCACAGTACAAAATTATTTCCTATGGCATTTAAATGTATCTACTCACCCCATATTCTGTTGACTTATCCAAAGAAGATTTAGAATTATGAGAATCATGTAAATGACTTCTAAACCTTTTCTTTCTCTTCCTGGATACTGGAGTGTGTTCCATTTCTGAATAAGAACATGAAGTCTTCTTGTTTCTGGTCCCCTCTTCAAGATTATTGCAGTCTTTACTTTCAGGATTAAAATCTTTAAAAAACATAAAAAGCACAGCTATGCCCAAAAAGTATACAAAAGTTCCTTTTACATGAGTTGCCAGTTGTACTGAAATTACTATACTAACTAAATCTCATTAAAACCAAACTCTGTAGTGGCACTGGATGGAAATATCAAAGGGTGAGCCTATATAAACCAGTTGTGTTTTTTAGACAACAGATATGAGGGCACACGGCAAATTTTATGGGGAGGAAATATCCTTTCAAGAAGTGATGAAGGGCTGGAGAGATGGCTCAGAGTTTAAGAGCACTGACTGCTCTTCCAGAGGTCCTGAGTTCAATTCCCAGCAACCACATGGTGGGTCACAACCATCTATAATGAGATCTGGTGTCCTCTTCTGGCATGCAAGCATACGTGGAAGGAATGTTGTATACATAATAAATAAATAAATCTTAAAAAAAAAGATACAGGCAACTAAGGAACCCTGAGAGTGGGAGAAATTGTTTAAAAAAAAAAAAAAAAGAAGTGATGAAAATGAAACAAGTAACCATGGCTTTTCTATTTGATATAAACACATTTTTGTTATTACTGTTTTGGTTTTTCAAGTCAAGATTTCTCTGTGTAGCCTTAGCTATCCTGGAAGTTACTCTGTAGACCAGGCTGTCCTCCAACTCACAGAGATCTGCCTGCCTCTGCCTTCAGAGTGCTGGAATTAAAAGTATGCACCACCACCACCTATTAATTTTCTTATTATTATTTTGTATTTGTTCTAATTAGCATATAAAGTAATGAGTTTCGTTATGGAACTCATTAGACTTTTGTTTCTGTTCATCAATCCTGGTCCCCAATTCCTCTCCCAGTATCCCTGTAGCCAGCCTACTTTCTAGTTTCTGACCGTTATTCACACTCGCTCCCACATAACTACACACAATATTCAAATTAAAGCCAAAGAGATCTTATACCCTCTTTTTATATAATAATCTACAGATCCAAGAATATCCTGGCAAATTCCATGATTTCATTTTTCTTTAAGGCTGCATGGGCTTATTTCTGGGTCTCTGGTTATATTCCAGTTGTCTGGGGTCTGTTTGTGGGAATACATGCAATGTTTGTGATTATGGGTCTGTACTACAATCTGAAGTCAGACACTGGGATGCCTCCTCCAAGTTCTGCCTGTTTGGTTTGGGTTTGGCTTGGCTGTCTTTTCTGTTTCCATATGAATACTTAGGATTAATTTTCTTCATGCTGTGAAGAAGGTCACTGGAATTTTGGTGGGGATTATATTGAATCTTTATATCACTTTTGGCAATATAGTCTTGTAACAGCTTTGGCTGTCCCTGATCTCACAAAGATCCGCCTGCCTCTGCCTCCTGAGAGCTGGTATTAAAGATATGTGCTACCACTGCCCAGTGGTCATTTTCATAATATGGTGTTAATTCCACTGATCCAGAAGTAATTTAAAAATTCCTGGAATAAAGTAAAACTGGTAGCACAACCTACTGGAGTGTCTGAGCTAGAGCCAAGGCAGTCCTAAGAGAAAAGCTCATGACAAAATAGCAGCCGTGTCTGTGTGGTCATGAGTGAGTGGAAAAAATTTAAAACAAAGAGTAAACAAAAGATAAATGAGAGAGAGAGCTACAGAAAACAAAAATTAGACTAGGCGGAGCTGGTCAGTATCCCCAGCCACACCACATTACTCATATAATCTCAAATATTCAAAATAAGACTCAGCCAGTTTCAGTTACAAAATACTTCTGATAAAGTCATTTCACTCTAGTCAGTCTTCAAGCCTTTTAACGATCAGACTTAAAGCTAAGAGCACATAAATAACACTACACTCCCAAGCTTCACACAGAGCATAAGAAATGTGTCCACTGTAAACTAACGGTCTCAGTGGCTGTGTGGAAGCCTGTGTCCACAAAGTCACTTTCTCTAGTAACTGCCCTGAAAAAAGCTCAGCCAGCCTCTTGTATGCATAGAAGTCAAGTCCAGTTTCCTTAGTTTCTACGAGGTCTACTAAAAAATATTGTAGGCACTGGAGAGAGAATTAAATGATTAAGATTAGTTGATATCTAACTTCAAGGACATGAACTTAATCCCAGAACCCATGGAAAGGTCAGACATGGTTTTGCATACACCTGACACCCCAGCTCCAAGAGGGTGGAGGTAGGAAGCTTGCTGGGGCTTACTGGCTGCCAGCCTAGGAGAAAACTGAAAGCTCTGGGTTTAGAGGAGTAGGACAAAAATGATAAACAAGAAAAGCCAACACCTTCTCTTCCTCCCGCAGACATCACACACACACAGAATCCAAACAGTTATATTTGAAATGAAATACATAAATTTTTGCACAGTGTGATTAAAGAACATTTTTTTCTCGTGAATAATTTACAAAATTACTCAGAAAACAGATTATCTCCCTTTGTTTTAAACTATCAACAATCCAAAAGAGCTCTAATGGCTAAGGTAGTAATTTAAGTTTTCATAAATTTTGGTTTAAAAAATTAAATATTAAAAGAAAAATAAAAAGGAAAGGGGTCAGATTATTAATATTAATAATTAATTAATATACATCAGGAGACCTGTGAAGAATTTTAGAAGCCTGAGATGTATTTGCCTTCATGTTTGCTAAGCTGAATTAGGTGGGTATCCTTTTATTTATTTATTAAAGATTTCTGTCTCTTCCCCGCCACCGCCTCCCATTTCCCCCCCCCTCCTCCAATCAACTCCCCCTCCCTCATCAGCCCAAAAGGCAGTCAGGATTCCCTGCCCTGTGGGAAGTCCAAGGACCTCTAGGTGGGCATCCTTTGAGAGTTAAAAGCAGTTCTGACCAATGCATTTTGTAGCAAGAGACTAGACAATGGGAAGAGCATAATAACATTCCAGATAACAGTAATATTAATATTCATGAAAACAATTCGAATAGCCAAACTAACATAATTTCAAAGATACTTTTACTCCATACACACATAAAAAGACAAAAAGTAATGTTCAAATTCAACTTTTGGGACTGGCAAGTAGAGAAAGAAATATATACTTAGGTATATAAATAAATAATGTTCAGCAATTTTATTTGTATTAGATAACTACTTCTCTTTACTTTTGCATATCATTTCAATATTACTATAAAATATTCATAACAAAGCTGCTATAAATAATAAGTAAAATTCTAATTCCAGTTTTCCAGCAATCACAAACCTTTAGGCTGAGTATCAGATGTCACAGAAATGCCACGGTCAGCTCTGTGCTTTTCTTTCACATTTGGAGCCTTCTTTGCAGAAATGTTATCAGTCTTTCTTGGTTTTGATCCTCTGAAAAACAGAATTGTATCAAATTCATTTCTAATAAGGCTCAAATGAATTTAGAAGACACCGACACAAATTCAAATAAAAATTCAATAGGCTAAAAATAAATTCTTACATGTAATACTACATGATATAGATACTTTAAAAAAAAAAGTTCATATGCTGGGTAGTGGTGGCACATGCCTTTAATTCCAGCACTAAGGAAGCAGAAGCAAGGGATCTCTGTGAGTTTGAGGCCAGGATGGTCTAGAGAGCTAGTTTTAGGACAGCCAAGGCTACACAAAGAAACCCATTCATGAATAACAAACAAATAACAACAACAACAAAAACCCCATTGAACTCAGATCTGAAAAGTTTTCACTTCCGTTTCACCCTTACATCCCAAAGGTCTTTGGGGAAAGGACACTGTATCTGCAAAATGAGAAAAGAATAATCTTACACGAACTAGGTAGGTCAGAGCTCAAAAAGTAAAAATTCAACAACACAAATACCCTGATATTCAACCAGTATGTAATAAACAATTATAAGTCAAAGCTAATTGTTAATATATTTCAAAATGGTTCAAAAACAAATCTTAAGAAAAAAATGAAGTTTGGAATGTGTTAACAAATTTTATCTATAGGGGCTGGAGAGAGGGCTCAGCGGTTAAGAGCATTGCCTGCTCTTCCAAAAGTCCTGAGTTCAATTCCCAGCAACCACATGGTGGCTCACAGCCATCTGTAATGAGGTCTGGTGCCTTCTTCTGGCGTGGAGACATACACGCAGAGAGAATATTGTATACATTATCTATATAAAATTATTTAAAATCTAAGATTCAGGCAAAATAACTAAAATAGAATATTGAGGGGAAAACAAATTTTAGTCCTTGTGTAGTGGTGCACTCAGGACGCAGAGGTTGGAAGATCTCTGTGAGTTCAAAGCTAGCCTGGTCTACAGTGAGCTTCAAGACAGACAGGCCTACATTGAAAGACCTTATTCTCCCCACCCCCGCAAAAAAAAAAAGGAGAAGAAAAGAAAGAAGAAAAACAAATTTTCCATGATAAGAATAAAACTTTTGACAAAAAGGAAAATATAAAGCTTGGTTTAGAAGAATTGAAACCTATTTCATCTGAGGATTATTTAAAAGACAGGATGAAAACAGGAGAAAGTACAACATAAATAGCACCTTTGTAGTATATTTCTTTTTAAAATGTATGCACAAATTTTATACATATAAGATGAGCAAAATATAACCTATAAGAAAAATGATTGAAAATATAATAAATGAATTATAAATTCAAAAGCTATAGAAACCAATATTACCAATGTACTATCATAGTAAAAGGATCAGTCATTGCTATGATTACACTTATTCAGCTCTTTATACTTACTTTAATGTAATATTCTTTACTTAGAACTTGGAAACTAAAATCTCAAATATTCAAAATAAGATTTAGCCAGTTAAGCCGGGCGGTGGTGGCGCACGCCTTTAATCCCAGCACTCGGGAGGCAGAGGCAGGCGGATCTCTGTGAGTTCGAGACCAGCCTGGTCTACAAGAGCTAGTTCCAGGACAGGCTCCAAAACCATAGAGAAACCCTATCTCGAAAAACCAAAAAAAAAAAAAGACTTAGCCAGTTTAACTTACAAAAAAACTTTGACTAAGTAAATTCATTCTATTTAATCTGAAGCCTCAACCATCAACTTTAGGCTAATAGCATATAAGTAACACTATAGTAGCCAAGTTTCATTTGCTAAAGATAAAAGCCAAAAGCAAAACAAAGCCTGTTTTGTTTTTTAACCACCCAGCAAAATACCACAAAACACTATAAACAAAACTACAATGTGATCTAAATGGTTTTTTAAATTGAAATGAAATAAAAAGCAACGAGACAGAAAAACTGCAGGAGAAATTTAAAACATAAAACTGATTTTTAAATGCTCATTATTCCTGCTTACAGACAATATGATGCTACAGATAACAGACCCTAAAGTAGGATTGGACAGATGGCTCTGGTTGAAGTGCTTATTGCAGAAGGCATGAGGACCGGAGGCCAGGTCTCCAGCGCCCACATGCAAGAGTCCCAGAACCCATGTAAAACCGTGTGGGCATGCCTCAGTATATAAAGTGGAGAGCAACTGAGGAAGACACCCGACATCAACCTGTGGCCTCTATATGAATATACACACTCTCTCATACACATGAGCATGAATACACATATGCACACACGTCATACACACATACAAATGCAAAAAAGACCATGAAGGTATAAAGATTCCTCCAGAAAAGTCAAAGTTGACAAATACTTTCAGCACTACAGCAGGATGTAAAATCACATACAAACATCAGTAGCTTTTGTACATACCAATAAAAATGCAAAAAAAAAAAAAGTTGGGGCAAAAATCTATTCACAATAGCTTTTAAACAAATAGTTTGTGACAAGCCTAACCAAGGAAGTAAAGGATCTCTATAAATAAAAACTATGAACCACTGTAGAAACTCAAGACACCAGAAGCTTGGGAAGGCCTGCTTCCTCAGGGACGGGCAGGATTAATACTGTGAAAATGAATAATGTCACTGAAAGAAATCTACAGATTTAATATAATCCTCATCAAAATTTCAAGAAATTCTTTATAAAATTAGAAAAAAAGCAATTCTAACATCCATATAGAAGCATAGAAGACTTCAAAATAATGAAACTAATCCTGTACAGCAATGTTGGATGTATCTTAATACCCGATCTCAAACTAAAAAAATCATAGTCACATGGCACCAGCACGGAAACATACATGTAGACTAATGGAAAAAAACAGAAGAGCCAACAGCCACCCCTGAACATTCCTCATAGCCTCTGACGTCAGAAGTTCAGCAGGGTCCAGCCTGCTTAGTACCTGAAAGGGAGAACAGATGATCCAAAGAAGCTTCCGCAGCTGCAGCCTCCTCATTTCTGAGAAAGGTGAACACACTAGAGAAAAGCCTCTTCTACAAACAGTGCTGGGAAAACTGAACACCCGTGTGGAAGAATGAAACTACGTCCAAATTTCTCACCCTTCACAAACAACAAGTCCAACTGGATGTAAGACCTTAAAGCAAGACCTAAAATCTTGAAACTATTAGAGCAAAACACTTCAAGACATAGGCATGGACAAGGATTTCCTGAAAAAAATTCCAATATCGTAGGAAATACTTTCAAGAATTGGCAAGTAGGAGTACGTGAAATTAGGCGTCTGTATAGAATATGAAACAATCATCAACTTGAAGAAACACTCTACAGAACAGAAAAAAAACTTATCAATTATATATCAAATAGGGATTAACATATATTAACATATAGAATCTATAAAAAAAGCCACAAAATTTTAAAATAAAACAAATCATTCACTTAATAAATAAACTAATAAATTAAAGAGATAGTTCTCAAATGAAGAAACATAATTAGCCTACACATTTTTTAAAAAATATTCAATATTTTATGCCAGTGCTGGTGGCCCATGAGTTTGATGCCACCCTGATCTACAGGGCAGATTCCAGGACAGTCAAGGCTACACAAGAGAAATCCTGTCTTGAAACACAAAAACAAACAAAAAAAGTATTAATGATCTTTAAGTCTATCAAGGAACCATAAGTTAAAGATACAGTGAGATGCCAATGCATCAAAGTCAGAATCACTATCGTCAAGAAAACAAATGATGGCAAACTTGCAAGGACAGGGGAACCTTTTTACATAGCTAGTATGTGTGCAAACTGACTTGGCCATTACAGAAATCAGTATAGAAAATCCTCAAAATATTAAAAATTGAACTAACATACAGATAGAGCCACACTGTGCCTGATCTATTACACAGGACATCTAAGCATATCACAAAATAGTTAAACACACCAGGTTATTGCTACACGATTCACATAAAATACTGGGATTAGAACAAGCTTGATTCCATCAGTAAAAGAATACAGGGAGAGAATGTTGTATATAAACACAACAGAATTTTATTGTAAAGAACAGTGAGAATTATGACATTTGCAGTAAAATGTTAAGTGATAGAAGGCAGACACAGAGACAAAGACTCTTTTCTCTCAGATGAAGAATCTAGACTTTTAGATACACAAGACAGGTGCATAAATAGATACAGAAGACAAAAGTAGGAAAAGGTCTATGAGAATGAAAAAAGAGATATAAAAGGAGTTATGGGGGGACAGGAGAGGGTAAAAAATACATGTGACATGAAAGCAATAAAGATATTTGAAGGATAGTAAAAACGGCAATTCTACCAAAGAATTTATAGATTCAATGCAATCCCCATCAAGGTCCCATCAAAATTCTTTACAGACCTTGAGAGGACAATAATCAACTTTATATGGAAAAACAAAAAACCCAGGATAGCCAAAACAATCTTATACAATAAAGGAACTTCTGGAGGCATTACCATCCCTGACTTCAAACTCTATTACAGAGATACAGTATTGAAAAGAGCTTGGTATTGGCATAAAAACAGAGAACTCGACCAATGGAATCGAATAGAAGACCCTGACTTTAATCCACAAACCTATGAACACCTGATTTTCGATAAAGGAGCTAAAAGTATACAAT